GTGAAAGCTTCTTTGTTGTGTGACATTGAATATAGGACACAGTGGGGTTTTCCTAACAGCTGCAGGCTGTAGGTTATGATGTTTTCTATAATGTAACATGCTGGGCTGGTGTTTTTTTTATTGTGTTTTTGGGGGTTTATCCCCATCAGAACCAGCTCACAATTTTTTGAATATCACAATAACATACAGATTTTATCTGTGTTTAACCCGAGAGGTTAAATCCGCTCTGGGCTTTTTTCCTCCTGCAGTTTTCTCTAGTCTTGGACCACTTCAGCAAATTAAATAGGGCCTAATTGTTTGACTTTTTTCCAAATTGCTCATTCTACAGGTATGTTCTTCAGTAAATAAATGAAAAATAAGCTAGATTTGGGATAGATGGGGATAATATAAGGACGTGAGAAGCTGCCATGCTGTTAGTTCTTTTCTCATCTTATTTTTTCTTTTGAACAAGGCAGGCCTTTGAATCAGCAGTGCCATTCATTGAAACCTATTTTCGAAACACTATTTATGCATGCATACAACTGTATTGATCAATAGCAAAATGGATCTGGAATGTTTACATCCTCTGAATAAGTGGATGTGCCTGTGTTTTTATTAGAATGTTTGGAAAATCTGGGTTAGGATTTCTTCCTTTTATCTGCAATTGCGGAGGCTTGTTTTCCTTTCCCAGGTGGTAAACCCAGATGAAAAATTAAAAGGAAAAATCATTAAAATGTCCAGTTCCTTAAATAAGATTATAAATAAAAGAAAGTTATTGCCCTACCTATAGTTTTGAATGCCTCACTCATTGTTTTTTTTATTTATAATTGGGTAGCCCAGATTGTTCATGACATGAACACTCATCAGTCTGCACTCCTTCAGTCATTGACTGCTGTTCCCCCTGTGGCAGATTCCACTTCATCCTAATTAGAATTAATAATTAAAAATAGGAAATCAATATGTGCAAATTAAGTATGGCAGCATCGGAATGACATTGTTTTTTGAATGGTCATGTCAGCCCCAGTGACTGTTTTGAGTGATGTCTGAGATGTAGTACAATTATGGCTTTATTTACACCGTGTGTGGTTGTGTGCTGAGTGCGGGCGCCCGTCTATGCTCTGATTGTTTTTTATTGCTTATGTCCTGTGGGGAAGAGAGCAAAGGGGTTTGTTTTCTGCAGGACAGGTTGAAGGGTAAATTATTAATTTGAAGGAGCAGTGGCCTGTGTAACAATTTGCTGATCCAGAAGTTTTCATGAGCTGTGCCAGGTTCTGTTGAGCAAGTGACCGGTTTACTGCACTGAGGCAAAACATCCCTCCCAGGATGTCTGCATTACTGCTCTGCACGGCCAACTTTATTAGAAAGATAGAGTTGCCCTTTTAAGTGGCCTCACTTTAAGTGCTTGTTTGGAATGAAGTGTGAGATGATCTGGCCTTGTATGTCTTGATCAACCGGTGGACCTGTTAACCCTGTTAGAGATGTGCTTCGAGGGGAGCTCACTGGCCCCTCCTGGACCTTTATTGATCTGGGTTCACATCCTGAGTTGGACTTAGACAAATTATCACATCATTCACTGGATAAACAACATAGCCTGACTTTTTAAT